ATCACGATATCATATGTCGAACATAAGGCATGTATAAGCCACCTTATCTGATTCGACTGCTTTCTCGTTCACTGAGTTCGACTGTCTGAAATAGACGACGTTCGTCTATAGTGCGGCCACACATTTCTACAGTCTCGCTCACACGAGGGGCCCAACGATATCTCTCTCTTTTACGAAAGGTACAAATCCCGTCTTGACTATATACAATCCAGCACATGATTCGTTTCGTACCTGATACACGCCTTTATAGTCCTCCTGTTACGCAGGACGTTTGACGTATTCAAAGCATGCAACTCCTCATGTTGGATTCCGTAGATATCTGAGGTCTTAGGATCCAATCATGGAACCGCCATATGAGATTCAAGTCATGACGCTAGTCCATGTGACAATCTCATGCGGGTCAATCCAGTATTTCGTTCTTCAACGAATACCTATGACAGTGATCGTATCCAATACCTATGATCATCGCTATGATCATCAATCACACATCATACTAGCTTATTATGTCATCATTCCCATAATGACACAAGACTAGGGAGTTTAGTATCATTCATAATGATACATGGATTTCATAACAGATCTAGTATGCAAGAACATGTAATGAATCAAATACTCTCATAAAACCATAGAAAGTATCAATACATCGAATGTATCTAAGAAAGCTCATAAACAGTACATCATAGAGCACTAAACCAACATTTTCGACATTGTCGATGTTTTTCACTCCAAAATAGTCGTTCTCTCTGACATTGTCGATGTTGATGTTCCCGCTACACATTTGATTCTCTTCCGTACTTCACCAGGACCAGGATACCGATTTTGTTTAGGCCTCCCACATGGCCATTTCTCATCCATTATAGGAGGCATAACCATAAGATTTGCAACATCCGGATCATCGATAATCCATTCATAGCAATCGAGGACCGAATACATGGTTTCTTGATAGGCAAGACGCCATGCCTCCCGCGTATAATATGGAGAACACAAGTCTGGTATAACATTCGCTTTACTAACCTTATGAAGTGCTGCAATTGCATGGCTGCATGGGATCTTATCGATATCAAACACCCTACAACTGCACGTTCTATCTTCAATGCTAACAAAGTGTTTTCTACCCTTTTCATCCCTCACTTCAAACTCCTCTGTAACAGTGTTTAGCACAATGACTTCATATGTACATGCAGTCTCATACCTCTCATGCATCACTTTGTCAACATGTGGTGTCATTTTTTGTGAATCATCGGCACATCCTGCTTCCACTCTATATCTATCGAACCATTCTACGGTCTTGGAGACACACATATCCACAAGGCCCAGCACCGGAAACCTTTTTACCTTTTTCATTGCAGAATTTATTAATTCCGTCGTATTTGTTGTCAATAAATTGTACCTTTCATGCTTAAATTTACACCTCGCCCATTTCTTGGGATCAATTTCTTCTTTCTGCATATACTCCGCAACTTTGGGATACCTACACAAATAATGGTCACATGGTCACATGGTTCAGAATAAGCAATGGTCACATGATCACAATATACAATAGTCACATGGTCACATGGTCACACGGTCACATGTTTCAGAATAATCAAAATTTTAGGTTAGGTAATAATGGTTAAAAAACCTCGTACCTGTCCTTCATATCATTAAACAGGTTTTCAAATTCGTTCAACGTATAAGCTTTTGCGCATTTGAAGAACCGTTCGACAATGGTCTCACCTCTCAAACTTTTCCTTCCCATGCCTCTGCTAACCTTGACTTTCAAATTTTGCGCTATATGTCTCGCACAAAATCCGTGCCCTGCTTCTTTGTACACTTCGCTGATGGCCTTTATTATACTCCTATGTCGATCATAAATCACGACAACATCAGGTCCATCTGGGATTGCCTTTATTAACATTTTCATAAACCACCTCCATGATGCATCTTTTTCTCTGTCAATAACACCCCAGGCTAATGGATATAGATGGTGGTCACCGTCTTGTGCCGTTGCAACGACCAATGTACCCTTGTATTGTCCCACGAGAAATGTTGCGTCAATCGCAATCACTTTACGCATGTAATTCCATCCTCTTACCGTTGCACCCAATGCGAAAAATAGATATTTGAAACTTTTGCCATCTTTGTCCAACTCAAGACCGACAATTGTTCCGGGATTTCTCTTTTGCAACATGTGAAATCACCCAGGAGGCTTTCTGAAATGCTCAGCAGGATCACCTCGAATCTCACTTTCAGCTTTGTGTTTGCCTCGTAATGTCGTCAAATATATTACGGTTGTACCGTATTTGGCTTTTACCCTGTCTACAATTTCATGTGCTGAAGGCGTACTATCAAGTTTACCGGAGAATTCTTCCTTCAAATAGTCCCGAACCAATTTCTTTGTACCCCTCAAAGCTTCGCTTGTTTCAGATACGGGTTTGCAACTATGCATGAGAATGTGTTTTCTTACACTCCAACGCTCTGAGTTTAAAATCAATGTCGTCCGCAACTTCAAATTACAGCCCGATTCAGCAAATTTGCATCTTATTTCCCACAACTTTTTATCGGACTTCAGTGTAGTGTAACGTAAACGACCTACAGCTGCACCCTTGCGAACAAATTCTTGTGCTGCTTCCTTATTCTCAAACTCATGGCCAATTGTGATATTTAATCCATCACTGAAACTGAATACAGAATTCGAAAACCGAGAGTCTGCTACCACCTCAAGGGCCAAATCATCACCACCATCATCACGATCACCATCACATTCAGTCACTATAACATAAGACCACTAGAATGTTCACTATTAGAAAGATATATAACTTCTGCCACATTATTACTCCCAACTCTACTTTTAAAATTAGGGCTCAACATAACACAATCATCATAATCTATCACATCTCGCTTTCTACTACCTCCAACACCACTTTCACCAGCAGGAATTATAGGTTGTTCTTCAACATTTTGTTCACATTCACCTTTCACCCGTACCTCATCTATCTCCACATAAAGCATGCCTCGCATTCCATTTATTATATCCAGTAGATAAATATGAACATGCTTGTCATCCATAGGTAGGTGGCCTTTCTATTTTCTTTTACATTTGGTAAATAGCTCAGCTTGATCTCTACTTTATCTTTATCCATCTTCATCTCCGAACATAACTCTCGAACAAGTTCACTGTAGGTCATCTCCAAGGGGGGACAAATAACAATCTTTGGTTTTCCATAACTCTTCCTTCCCATTCATATTCCCCATTCTTATTCTATATCCAACCACTGCCATATAGAAAATATATAATTGTTGACCTCTCGTCTTGCTCATCCATTATACCACTGGAAAACAGAGTTACAAAACGAAGATCAATTCGACCATTCTGAACATTGTGACCATGTGATCATGTGACTATGTGACCTTGTGACCATTATTACCAATCTGACCATTCTGAAACATGTGACCATGTCACCTTGTGACCTTGTGACTATGTGACCATGTTAACTTGTGACCTTGTGATCTTATGACCTTGTGACCTTGTGACCTTGTGACATTGTGACCTTGTGACCTTGTGACCGTGCGACCTTGTGACTATTGTAACTTTGGTCCTATTGTCACCCATGTGACTGGTTTTCCTAATGACTCGTGAACCATGTGATCAAGTGACCCTGTAACGGTGTGACCGCGTGACCACTTCACTATATAACCCCTAATCTATTTGTATTGTGCACATTGTGACCATTGTGTCCTGTTTCTATAGTGACCCATATAAGTGTTGTGCACATTGTGATCATTGTGACCCATATACCCATGTTGACCTTCGTGACAATTAACCTGTGTGACCCGTGACACAAAACGATACTCGGAATATATCCAAAATGCAGATCTGATATAGATCTTTGATTACAAACGACAGAACTACAGAAAAAAAACAATTGGAAGGAAAAAACTGCAACAACCATCAATGTATATGAAAAAAAAAACTGAGATTTCGACACAAACTTACCTATTTCCACTTTCGTCACTGATTTCGCCTTGATTTGCCTGTGATTTTGTCCAAATTCGACAAATTTTGAAGACAAAATAGCAAGATGAGGAGGAGAGAGAAAACACAGTAGAGAGAGAGAGTTTAGTCGACAATGGCGAGAGGAGGAGAGAGAAACCGTTCTTGAAGAAAGAGAAACCCTAAAAAAAGGGGGTTTTTTGATTTTTTAAATTTATGTCTAAAGGGTATTTGTGTAATTTGTCAACGAAAATGGTAAATTAGAAGTTGCAATTTTTTTTTCAAGAGGAGGGTAGCACTAGAAGTCCTCATAGCACATTGAGGGTAGAATGGAAGTTCTCCCAATAGAATTTCTACCTTCCACCCTAAATTACGAAAATACCCCTAAGCCGCCATTTTAATGTACAACATGGACGACGATAACATGAATTTAGCCACCGAGTCCCGAGCTTAGATACCACCAGTAGCGGATCTAGGAATAATTACAAATGGTGACAGTTAATTTTAGGAAAAAAATCCTAAAAATTCTTGAACTTGTAATTTGGAGTAATATTAATTTCTAAACTTGTAGAGGTGTCTATTAATTCCCAAACTTGTAAAATTGAACATGTTAAATCATGAATTTGTTAAACGGATTCATAATCGTCCACAACACTATTTGGTCAAAAAACGAGTTGATCGATCCGACGTGGCATGTGATGTGGCGGTAATTTTCTGAGTTGGCTCGCCACGTCACGCGCCACGTTGGATCAGTCAACTCGTTTTTTTACCAAATAACACTATGGACGATTACGGAACCGTTTAACAAGTTCAGGATTTAACGTGTTCAATTTTGCAAGTTTGGGAATTAATAGGCACCTTCACAAGTCTAGGAATTAATATTACTCCAAAATACAAGTTCAAAAATTTTTAGGATTTTTTCTCTAAAAAAATAAAAAAATAAGATAACGAATTACAAGAAGATGGTAGCCTAAGTAAGTAGTATTGCTACTACGAACTACCAAATCATGACATAGCTTGAATCATGTAAAAATACACATACAATATATATATATATATTTATATATATATATATATAACGAATTTAATTATTTAATTTTAGGTCTAGATTTTAAAATCTTTTACAATAATTTCGAAATAGAGGAAACACAAACTTTTTTTAAGTTATAAAAAACATACAATATCATACCAGTACATTTTGTTATAATAACAAATATATTTTGTTATAGAGAAAATAATCTAATAGTGATAGTTTTTCTATCAAATATTCAAAATCTAAATTGATTATGAATTGTTTTAGAAAAAAAATATATTAAAAAAGATATTTGAAAAAAATACATTTAATTTAGAAATATCCTTTTTAATATATTTTTTTCTAAAACAATTCATAATCAATTTAAAAATTAAAAGATACTCATACTTTATTTACAAAAATCCTAAAAATTCCTAAACTTGTAATTTGGAGTTAGGGGTGGGCACGGATCGGATATCCGTGATTTTTAAGATATTCGTATCCGTATCCGATCCGCACAAATACTCGATTTTATTATCCGTATCCGTAAATATCGCGGATATTTGCGAATATCCATATCCGACATAAAAATTATAAAAATTAAATTCAAATTTAAAAAAAAAATTTAAATATAAAAGAAAATATATAAGTTATTTAATATCTTCACAATTTAAAATTTATAATTTAAATATTTTAAATCAATTCAAATACAAATATAATCACAATCTATTATATACAAATATATTGAAATTTCAAAATTCAAAAATTAAACCTAATAAATTTTAATATTCAAAAGATTAAATATTCTAAATCTTAATATATACAAAATATTTCTTGAATATACATATAAAATATGTAAATATAAAACATTTTAAATTTTTATAGCAAATTATTTTTATATTTAATGATATTATTAATTAGTACGGATCGGATCGGATATGTCGGATAATTCGAATTTGATATCCGTATCCGATCCGTATCCGACAAAAATTTCAAAATAAATATCCGTATAAACTCCGGATATCCGAATTTTCGATTCGGATACGGATCGGATAACAGATCGGTTCGATTTTTTCAGATATTATGCCCACCCCTTTTGGAGTAATATTAATTCCTAAACATGTAGACTGTAGAGGTGTCTATTAATTTCCAAACATGCAAAATTGAACACGTTAAATCATGAACTTGTTAAACGGTTCCATAATCGTCCATAGTGTTATTTGGTCAAAAAACGAGTTGACCGATCCGATGTGGCGCATGACATGGCGAGCCAACTCAGAAAATTACCACCACGTCACACCCCACGTCGGATCGGTCAACCCGTTTTTTTGACCAAATAATGCTATGGACGATTATGGAATCGTTTAACAAGTTCATGATTTAACGTGTTCAATTTTATAAGTTTGAGAATTAATAGGCACCTCTACAAGTTTAGGAATTAATATTACTCCAAATTACAAGTTTAGGAATTTTTAAGATTTTTTCCCTTAATTTTACTATATAATAAAGGTATCTAACAATCTTATAAAAAATCATATTAAATTTATTTTAAAAAAAAGAGAGAAAATCCCAAATAAAACACTGAACTTTTTCAATTTTGACAAAAAACACTAAATTTTATTTTTTGTCAAATAAACATTAAATTTTTTAAACGAAACTAGAAAAACACTGAATTTTTTAAGTGATCCAAAAATACAAGAATTTTTCTGCGATTATAAAAAAACACTTAACTTTTTTAGTGATCCAAAAAAATATAGTAACGTTTTTCGATTGTAAAAAAAACTAAGTAAAATAATCTGACATGTTTGCATCTCATTGTACCACGTTAGTCATTTTGTTTATTTTGACAATCGTAGAAGAGTTAAACGTTTATTTTGTCAAATTTAAAAAGTTTAATGTTTATTTGATAAAATAAAAAGTTCAATGTCTTTTTTGTCAAAATTTGAAAATCGAGTATTTTTTTTTATTTTCCCAAAAAAATCATTTCTAATCAAACAAATGACCCTATTATTATCAAATTAGATCCGCCCATGGATATCACTTCCTGGGAAACACCAAAGAAAACATGAAACGACTTATAATTAAGTACTAAAACCGACTTTATTCCTCCCGAGTTTCAAACGCAAAACAAAATGTAAGAAATCTAATGCCAGTTCCGCTTGTTTAGAATAATCCATTAGAAAACCGACCTACGGAGTCCAAGACGGATAGATCAACTAGTGAAGCGGAGATTTAAAAAATCACCCGCTCCAAATTCGACACGTGTTGGATACCCATTATAAAAAAAACTCCTATGGCCAAAGATACATACTTTAAGAACTATCTTCTTTTAAACCACATTAAAACTATCTTCATCAAAACGATAAACATAGACTCGCTATTATGTTCTCTCTACGTGAACAAAAAACCTCTCTTCCTTTATATACAATGTACATAAACACGATCACTTTGGATCGCACTAAGTTACATTGCACTCAACAACACAACTGGCCATCCTTCATTTCGAGTTCACTGAACCCGAATCCTAAGAAACACTGATTCTATTATTCAGCGAATGTACATATGTACATGCGTGTAAATCTCGGTCTCTCCAGTCATATTCATATAAGCGTTGAAGAAGCGATTTCGTAATTGTGTAAAGCGGCACACTTTCATATTGTATTACAAGAGTTTAGATACAAACAATAGAGTCAGGGATGTAACCCTAATGCAACAAAGGAAAGCTACAATTGTGGGATTTGATATTATCTCCAGATATATACATTGCCTTATAATTCATGCCATTTTTCATGAAGATAGGAGAATAGCTAGGACAACAATGGACACATTCCACTGCCCTATGGCTCCTCTATGACTTCCCGCAAGACGGAGCACTGTCGGTGAGTCCGATCTTGGAGACGAATGTAGTGAACAACGGTCGAGGCAATGGCTTGGTTAGCAAGTAAGCGAGTTGGTCTTTCGAACTAACATGTGTCACCCGAAGCGTACCATTCTCGATTTTCCCCCCAACAAAAAGATAGTCCAGGGCTAGATGCTTCATACGTGAGTGAAAGACGGGATTGG